CTTTCTTCTACGGATACGATTTATCAACAGTTTCTGAATTATTTTCATTAAACTTCATTCACCTTCAACGCTGGTACTTGTGCATTTACAAATCAATCAATTGTTTCTACCCCGTTCTACCACTTAAATCTGGCCAACCGCGAGTTTTAGACTATGTGACTGAAACTTCGGTTCCCTTCTTCAAATCACTATTTCTGCACTGTACACCATTCTCTAAATAGTAGTGACCCCTCACTTCTGGATATTTTATTGGCAAATATTGATAAAATCGTTGACGCAGAACAGAATACAGGGCGTTGACGAAGACCCTAAACCTCGTATCACAATTTCGGGTAATTTTAAAGTCTATAACAGGGAACGGCTATTAAACTCTGCTTCGAAATTTTCCAAGTCCTTATTCCGTAAAACCCGGTAAGACTCTTATCCAGATTGGTTTAGCCATCCCTGTTTTCGCGCTATGTAAAAAGAAATCAGCCTTCCGTAAATTGCGTCACTCATCTTCCCTCGATCCCGCTAATTGTTCTTGTAGGCAGGCAACAACTGTGCAATCATCATACAGAAAGCTGAGGAACGTTTCGTCGACTGCAAAAAAGCACAGTTATCAACCACTCCTTCTGGAAACCGGAAGTTCTGGTCACTTTCTAAGGCGATATCCCGTGATAGCTGTTCTCGTTCTGCTTCCCGTCCATCTGGTGACTTAGTGCCCCACCCCATTAAAAAAGTCACAGTATTTACCTTCCGTTTTGCTTCCAATTCAACACTACCAAATGCGCTTGTCAAAGCCTCAGTATGGTCGGGGTGGAGGTCAAGGGTTGCGGCTGGTTACCCTTCCCTTGCACCTCACGAAGAGTTCCCATACGACCAAGTGTCTCAAATAGCCTCTGCTGAGGAAGCCCTACTCACTGCCTTCTCGCGGCGGAGGTGTTTTCCTACCAAAGTGAAAGGATGAAAAACCGATATCCGGGGCTATAGCCGGGTTGGTGGACCACTGGAAGTTCACCTAGGAGAGTTGGCCAAAAACCCTGATTCCAAACCAACCATGAGGAGACGTACGAACCACACCCACACCTTTTCGGTTGTGGGAGTGGTCATCGGCTCGATTGGGCATTGAGGTGTATTGGGCACCTTGGACGACTGACCCCGTCCAAAAGGGAGATCCGATGAACTGGGCACCGGCTCCCAATGGATTGCGGTTTTCACACCGTCAGCATGGATTTCGCCCTCCTCGATCTACGGGTGAATCACTGGCGCTCACATCATATTCCTGGTCAGCTGCACTTGATAACCACGGAGAAACTCACATGGTCTCGCTCGATATAGCAAATGCCTTTGACCGCATTTAGCATGAAGATCTGCTGTCGAAATTACCCACGTTCGGATTCCACCCGTCCCTGATATCGTGGCTTCGTTGTTTCCTCAGCAAGTGAACCCTCTCCGTCCGAGTAGATGGGGTCCTATCTCAGCCATTTCCTGTAAACGGCGGTGTTCACCAAGGTTCCATACTTTCGCCCACCCTCTTTCTCTTATTTATCAACGATCTTTTATCCCAAACATCTAATCCTATCCACTGCTTTGCCGATGATGCCACTCCCCATTGTTCTCTTTCTCATATCACAATACGTCAAGCTAATATCAATATCGATCACGATCGGAATGTCATTAGTGGCTCCCTTGCCTCCGACCCCGGACTAATCTCCGCATGGGGTTCTACCAACCATGTGTTTCAATGCTTCAAAAACTTCTCTCCTTTCAGTC